CAATCTGTAATAAATAATAATTCTATCTAAGAATGGGGAGGTCTTTGTGAAAGTGTATTCGTTGTTATTTACAATTTATAATTAAAAATAATTGATTTGCAATGTTCGAAGGCAAAGAAAGATTGAATGAAAATGCTTTGGGCGAAATTGGTATGCAAAGGAGATCTACTAATGATCGTTTTGTGTAGTTAGACTGAGGGTGTCAGGATACTCAGTTCATTATTGATAGAACTGGATTAGTACACCGTATGTTTTTTGTCAGGCACGATTGATGTGTGATTTTCATGTATTCGATCGAGGAGGACAAATTGGTATTTCAGGGAAAGTTAGGAGTGAGAGTGAGGGGTGTAATTATTATTGTTTGAGAACTTGTGAAGTGCAGTTGTGATGTTGGAGTTTTCTGTCGACGTAATGCAACGATTGTCGTTTTGGTGTTGGTGAGTTTTAGATGAATGTGCAGTTTCTTATGTTGGGTTTCTTACCGCTGAGAATTGAACGTTTCGTTAGAAAAGCTGGCAGTGAAATAATAGTTCAAATCCTAAATATATATGATCTATGATAATTGAAGTATTTTTTTCATTATATTACCATTTTGTCGCTATTCTTTGTGGAAAAGTTAGTATTAATTACGTATGAGTGAGAGTCAGATGGGTAGTTTTGTTTTATTTTATGTTATCGAAATTCAGCAAAGAATTCTGGGATCAAATTTAATTATTAAGTGAATTTCGTGGTGGCAGTCGTCGTGGTTATGATAGTCCCCAATATAATTAAAACACATTTATAATTTGTTTATCCATGTGTCCATATTTACTGAGTTTTATTTTCCGGTAATTTTTGCTATTTTATCTCAAGCAAAAAAGCCTAAACTAACGACAATCTTACTGAAGCAATAAAAACAATAAAATTAATTTTCGTGGGAAACAAGCATTTTACGATTTTGTACTAAATACGTTGGTTTATACTACAAATTACCTTTGTAGAAAAGCAGATTTTCATTCGATTAGCACGAATCTTCATTTAACCTTTATCAAAGCGATGACGCAGGTATTTGTGAAGAAAACAATGCACATTGTGCAGGACGCATCCAGAAACGTCATTGAAGATAACATATCACACACGATGGTATTTCTTCAAAGAAGATTAGGAATACTTGACCGCGAAACGTTGGTAGAGGAATTTTGTCCTTGTGAGAAGTGCGAGAACTTCAAAGTATATTATAATATAGAGCTTTTAGGCTATGGCCATCCTTAAGTCTAAATTGGTTTTCTTCTATGAATTTTAACTTTTGACTAGCGTAGAGGTAAGTAAGAATGTAGTGGCGGAGGAGGAGGGTGAGAGATACGTAGAAGTTAGAGATTAGAATCGGGCTTTTGGGATTCTTGATTTAATGCGAGGTCGGTTATTTTTTTCTAAGTTAAACATTGATGAGCAGGAAGAGTACGGTAAGTTGTTGAATAAAGTGTTGGCCAGGTGTTTTACTGACCGCTTGAATGCTGATGCAACTAATTCTGGTCTGATTTGTTAATTGGCGGTTGACATGGTGCATTTAGTGTCGATTTGAGATATTTTGGAGTGTGATTATGAAGCTGCGGAATTTTGCCTATTTGTTTATTTTTTCCTTCAATGGAAATCGTAATGTTTTAGGTTACTGATTCATTTTCAAGCATTTTTATTTGCGAATTTTATAGTGATTATAAATACCTACTTTCTTATTAATTGCCTAAATGTCTATTCTCGTATTTACTGATCAACATTTTAATAATCCTTAATTTATTTTTTTTACTTTTTTCGTAATCCTACAGATTACAGAGAAATCTAACAACTATCCATAAGTCTACATTCCGTTTTATTGCCACCATAGTGCGGATATTTATGAAACACGTAAAACCGCTGGTGGTGGAAAAGTTATTTTTTACTTTGACTTTTTAAACAATTGTTTCCTCAAATTCATATTTTTTCATAATTTTCCCCCTCGAATGTACCAGTGGACAAACGATAAATTGGGTCAGTTTCATTTTTCGCAAACACTGTATTTTTGAAGATTGTAAAAAGTTAACATTACATAAGTACAATATTGAATACAGATATTTTTAAAATATCTTTTTTCTTAAATGAAATATGTTCTAAAAATCAGATCTTTAAATAATTCCATGAATAATTTTTTTAAACTAGTGTTTTTTGCGGGTCCACGCTGTTTAGCTCATTGGTCAGAGAGCTCGCTTTCCATTACGCGACCCCTGGGTTCTATTCCGGGTCGAACAAAACTATACTGTTTTACTTGCACTTTCCCGGTATATGTTGCAGTGTGAGGATGAGAAAACTCACTTTTCAGGTTGAGAAGATCAGAATTCGGTGTGGGGATGTCTTAGCGCTAACCACCCTTACCCCTTAAATCCATGGCCTCTAGGCCGGAACGCTGCAGGTAAGGTCCTGGCCTGATCGCGGGCTCTCGCGACAATTACAAACGTTTTTGCGGAATTTCTGCTTAAATTGGAAGCAAATTATAAAAAAGATTCAAAAACTACAAATGTTTGTTTCATTTTTTCCACGTATTGAACATGGGACACTTACAAGAATGGTGCATGACTCATTTTAGTTGAACTCTGAATTTTTGAAAATTGAATATTTTGAAATATATTTTGGAATACAATGCGAGAAAGTATGCGCTGTTGGAACACCACTACTTACATTTATGTCATGTGTGTTGATTAATACATCATATATTATTTTCACTTATGTTTAAATTAAATATGTGAGAATAAAGATGAAATGGTACAGCATTAGAGAATCAGCTTGCATTTCATATAAGGGGGGGGGGGAAGTAGCTTCTGCGGTTCAGCCTTTTTCTCCGAATTGTCCAACAATGAAAGAAAAGCCGGTGCGGATGGCGGACCGCTAAGAGCGCCTTCCCACGTCGCGACGGCAGCGCGCTTCCGGCAAGACTCGCTACGCGAAGCGGAGGAGGGCGTGCGCGCCACCGCTAGCAGAGCACAGCTTTAAATGGGAGCCTTCCCACTGCGGCCGCCGGTCGCCGCGTTTTACCTGCTGTGGTCCCTTTGTTGGACGTCGCCGGAGGGTCGGCGAAGTGCGGTGCCGATTGACGTACGCGCGCTGCCGTGGCGGCGTGGGAAGGCGCCCTAAGGCAGAAGTGCCGGTTGCGATCTCGGCCCGAAGGATCAAGTCCCGCCTCGGGCATGAGTGTATTTGAGTTCGTCCTTTCACCCCCTATCATCATCATATCGTGTCATTTTGACAGTTGTCATACCGTTACTCGCAATAGTGATCGCTAATGGCCTAGGAGTTGATGCGACCTTTAATAACAAAAGAAAAAAAAATTCAACGAAGATGTCAGAACGATAATGAAAGCATTCTATGAAGGTTTAATTCCGTGAAGAAATTACGTATTTACTTTAGAAACCTTCTAAACAAGAACATGAATAAGGATAAGAAAAATATATAAAGCCTTTCTAAATGTCTATTTTACCAGCCTATTTCTACAATTTGTGTGACTTTAAGCTTAGTGATTGTTATGTTTCCTCCAATGTGAGCAGAATATGACGAGAGCGATAGCATCTTCGCGAGATTTAGTAAGTCGTTCACCATTCATCTAAAGATAACACCCGAAAACCAAACACATCCAAAATTAAAGACTAGTTTTACGCTAATAAGTGCTGACTTCCTGAATTTTAGGCTCTTTAGGATTTCGCCATATCATGGATGCAGACTCTAGCCAGATGCACCACTCACGTTTAAAGAACAACTTGATTTATTGTAGTCACGGAAAGTACATCCAAATTTAAAGGCTAATTACATATCTTACAAAATACAGACTATGCAAGTAATAATAATAATAATAATAATAATAATAATAATAATAATAACAATAACAATAACAATAAGAAGAAGAAAAATCAAAGGCCGATCCGTTGGTTGAGATTGCTAGGGTGCAGTGGCGGTCTCGGACCAAAGGATCGCGGGTTCAAGTCCCGCCTTGGGCATGGTTGTGTTGTGTGTGTCACTATGATCGTGTGTGTCTGTTTATTTGCTCATCATTTATTTCATCCCATTTCCCAAGGTTAACAACCCTAAGGTATAAAAATTGTATCAGCATTGAAATGAATGTGTATCGTTTTTACAGATTACTTATCGACCATATTCCTTAATTTAATTTGTCCTTGAACAGGCGTAAAAAAAAGGTCTTAATTTTTTATGCTTGGCATTTTATGCTCGCGTTGTCGTGAGACTTGAGGTTAATTTCAGGAAGCAGGTGTAGAGTTAACGGTTCCTTTCCCATCAACGGCGTGCTGTGCTTGTGTCGCAGGCGTGTTTGTGTGCTCATGGGGGTGCTTGTAGCAGGAGTTATGAGAGGGACGCAGTCGTCTTGTGTTCTGTGCTGTGCTTGTGTCGCAGGTATGTTGGTGGACATGTGCGTGCTCGTGTCGCCGGAGTTGAGAGGGGTGCGATGTCGCCTTGTGTGCTCTAGTGCGTGCTGTGCTTGTGTTGCGGGTGTTTGGCTGAGCCCATTGCGTGCTTGGCTTTCATGAGTTATGAGGGGGACGCAGTCGTCTTGTGTGCTGTGCTTGTGTCGCAGGCGTGTTGGTGTGCTCGTGTCACAAGAGTTATGAATGCGGTGAAGTCGCCTTTTGTGCTCAAATGCGTGCTGCACTTGTGTCGCAGGCGTGTTTGTGTGCTCACGTGCGTGCTTGTGTGGCAGGAGTTATGAGGGGTGCGATGTCGCCTTGTGTGCTCAAGTGCGTGCTGTGCGTGTGTCGCAGGTGTGTTGGTGTGATCATGTACGTGCTCGTGTTTATGAATTGAATTAATGCCTTATTTTACGTGGCGAGACTCAGTCCATGATACCTGCTCTTCCATCTGACCATGCACATTTCGCTACGCTCCTTTCACCAACTAACAGAGAAAGGAGGTATTTCTTGGGCGTGCTGTGCGTGTGTCGCAGGCGTGTTGGTGTGCTCACGGGCGTGCTTGTTCTTGTGCCGCAGGCGTGGTGGGCGGGGAGCTGGAGGCGCTCACCGAGCGGATGCAGGAGATGAATCTGGGCTTGGGCTTCCGGAAGACGCCAAAGCGCCCGCCACCAAACTACATGTGCCACCTGTGCTGGCACAACGACCACTACATCAAGGACTGTCCAAAGGTATGCATTGCTCACGGCAAAACATGGCATGTGGTTCACGTCACTTTTTATCAGTGGCAGTGGTAATAATGTTGATGTACAAGTGTGTACTGTTTTTGAATTTTCTTCCTTTACCCCGTAAATTCTGTACAATCTTATCTTATTTTTTTAAACTAGTATTTATCTTTTAATGCTCCTCAGCATATAACTACAATGTGAGACTTGCCATTAAATTTAATGTAGATTAGTATATTAATGTAACGTAATTTATATTATACACTAAAAATAACTTAATATATACGCACATTAAATTTAATGCTTAAAGTTAGATTTAATGTAGTTTTTTTCGGGCCACATACCTCTCATTATGCCTCTTATATTCATAATCACCTGTTCATCAAGATCGTTCATTCATTCATTTCATATAGTACCATAAAGTGTTTACTCTTGCGCCTTAATGTACACGTGTACATTAAATTTAATGTACGTTCATTATAATTACTGTATGTACCTTTACATTAAAATAATACTGAAACTTCTCAGTGTAGCTATATTTCTCCAACTCGCATCGGCTTCTTTCCTTTTTATTTCTTTCTTAAATACTCAAGTTACTTGCATTCTTTTATCTTCAACAATGTATATCTCTCTCTTTGTTTCCTTCTTGCACCTGATTATCCGTTTCTGTTAGCAACCAAAGTACTAATTTTTGCCTCTTTCCTATCTCATCTTCCTCGTTTCTTCCGTAGCCGGGAACGATTCTCTCGTCTTTTATAAAAGTTTCCCCTCGCCTGCTTCAAACTGGCATGTATGTTCTACTTCCTTCGATAATCTCCCTCCCCCTTCTTATGTACCCCTAACTATCATATTTCCACCTTTCCCCCAATCTCTGATCAAACTTGGCCCTTTTTTCGATTTATTTCATCTCTCCGTCCTTCCTCTTTCCCAACAAATCCCCAGACGCATTCAACCAAACACAACATTCACCAAATAAATTTCTCCTGATACTCTGTATTCCCATCCCTTCTCTCTCTCTCTCTCTCTCTCTCTCTCTCTCTCTCTCTCTCTCTCTCTCTATCTATCTATCTATCTATTTATCTATCTATCTATCTATCTATCTATCTATCTATCTATCTATCTATCTATCTTTATCAACTCCCAGTTCATTCCATCGTAATCGACTTCTGTACCCGACTGCTAAGACTTAAATGATGATGACTCACGCACTTAACAATGACTCGAACCGTAAAGAAACAAGAAAATGCACTGTTACTTTTAGAGCTTATGTAGAGCACAGTGCCGTACTGATTATGATGAAAAATGACCGGTCAATTTGGACCTAATACACGTGTACAACAAAATTATAAAGCGTTTTTGTAAGTTTTGGCGGTGCGTCTCTGCGAGTATGCAGGGAATTAAATCAACGCCAGCAAAATAGATCTGTACGTGGCATTGATTAAACTCTAGTCTCAAAGGCATTTTCGCTCAAAACGCCATAATTGTTTTTAAGTTGCCAACGCTAATGTTGCCAACGCTATGTTGAAATCTTTACGTGAACAAGTGAAGTTAATTTGAACAAGTGAATCGCATATTTCTTTAATTTTATAGGTAGACCTATTATTATATTTTTAAACATAAAGTTTCAAACACCTATGCACGATATTGCCTTGGAACTTATTAAATTTGAAGACTTTCAAGTGAATTTGGAGAAAACAAAACTTGATTATTTTCAGAGAATGAATGAACGACGTTCGACGTCTCACTTTTACGATCCTAAGTGTACAAATACCGATTGACCGAAAATAATGTACTTGTACTAACATGCAAGTCTTTCTTACGACGGTGATAATTTTGAAATTGAAATATTTTTACTTCAAAACACGTATGGAGGTAACATTTAAGACAATAGGGTCCATCCAGGATTCTTTTTAATTAAGCTCTTTCATTGGCAATTTACTTTGTCCCTAACAACTTCCTTGGCAGCACTAATTTTCACATCGGCGTCGTGCACCGTTGACACTTGATCTGACAAGAATTATTCTTTGCGTTCCAGCTTTGCTATTGTTGAGGGCATGAATTATGGCAATTTTATTCCAAACTATATGCTTCACAAACGACAAAAAATGAATTTTCCGTCATATATAGGATCTTTATGATCCAACAACTACGAACGAATTAATGTAGCTTTCGAAGACTTGCCTTTCAGCATTGTTCCCCCGATAGTAGGAATTTGCTTGACTTACGTCTTTCCTCGCCTGGATTGCGAAGACAACGCGTCGCAGCGATTAGACTCAACCTGTCAACAGCGCAGCTGCACCCGAAACGGGTGCAATTGCCCAAGACATGTGTTTTCAAACTACGTCACCACTTCCAGGCGCATCGCGATGATGTATTTAAAATGATTTTTAGATTTTATTTACTTCAATCCTTGCGTCTTATGTCCACAAAATAATTTTTTACTATCATAGTATACGTTATTTGTACTATATATGATTTCCTGTACTAATTAATTACGGATTTTTGCACGTCCTTTACCAATAAACTTCTGTGGCTCGTGTAGCATCGACGTACATCCGTAGCGCGCGTCGGGGATATTTAATGTTTCCACCCATGCGGGTCAATAGTTTCCGTGCCCACGCGAGCTGTGTTTGGTTGAGATCCAAATTAATCGTCGCAAAAGAAATGAGTCACCGTTTCAAATATTCAACCCAGATTTGAAGAATTGTTGATGAAGAAGTAAGCTCATACTTCCCATTAATTTTAAACGAAGATTTTTGCCATACAATTTAAAGTTGGAAAAACTGTGTTATTTTATTTAATACCTAATTAAAAATGAGAAATAAAGTAAGCTCTCGTATCACTACTCATTTGTGTTGAATCATTAGTAGGCCTATGTTAACTGTTATATTTGGAACTTATTGTTACTATGGGAGTCGCGAGAAGTTTCGTATAAGTCATGGTCGAAAAAAAAAAATTGGAAAGCCCTGTCCTAAGACGTTCGTTCTCATTGGAGACGAGCGTGAAACATTCCCTGTATATTGATTGGCTGAGCTCCTGTTTTCGTTGCTTTGGACGAAATTTTTCGGTGCGTAGTCGATTGCGTATTTTGATAAGGGAATATTTGCGTTTTGACAGATTCTGGAGTGTGCGTTTTCGTATTAAAATTAAATACGTTAATTCTTCAACGGTGCTGGTTTTTGGCAGTTTTCGGTAAAAAAAATTAAAATTCATTTATTCACATCAATTATTCAAAATAGAACCTTTTAAGACATTTTAGGCATTATTAAATGCTTTCAGTAGATCTATTTTTCCATGATTCCAAAACATATGGAATTATTTTTTTTTCAGGACCTAAATAGGCATTTGTCCTAAAATCCAAGATTCTTATTAGTAATCTTACAAATTTTAAAAGTTTAGCCAGTAGGTCTATGTAAGTTGCGGGATGAAAACAAAAGCTATTTTTGAAAAAGATTTCTATATTTTATTGAAATTGCAAATTGCATTGACAATACGTAATACGGAAAAATTTGCCTAGGAAATGTAGTATTACAAGGTCAGATACCTCAAAAAAATAGTGTTATATGTCTTGCAGAGCTTGAGATCGCGCTGCACCAAAAAATTGGAGACTACAAAGCCCGATATTATGTTTTATGAGCTAAACTCTAGCGTGCCGTCATACGTTTTGTGTTAATCTTGATACTATTATTTTTTTTTTATATAAACATGTTTCTTCATTTTCTCAGTATATACCAGCTGTTATTAAATTAAACAACCGGTTTATTTTCTGTTGCTGTTGGAAAATAATGAGTTAAACACGTAGCTAAAGAATCTAATCTTAATTTATTCGTGATACTCTTACATCTTTCATCATCACAAAAATTCGAGCGAAACCCGGAACATTCTGATAGTTGTTGTTATCCGTAGCCACGTATTGATTGTTATCAGGAAGACGTGTTTGATGTGGGAGGCACTGTGCAATGTGCGATATGCGAATGCTCTCGACCGATAATACAACTGGGTTTCTACGAAGTGTCAAGGATTCTAAGTTAACGTGCACGAGTAAGCGACAAGAAATGTTATCCAAATACTAACTGGCCTCCGACCATTCCACATTTCGCCGCCTGGTTTGGTGCCAGGTTAGTTCTTGTGTTTCTCCGCTCCAATCTCTGTCGCAATCACATTCGTAATCTACCGGGACTTTCGACGTAGTCATCGGACATCGGACAAAGCCCTCTGGACGTATTTCGAGAAACCTGCAAAAGGCGAGGGATTTGCGACTTGCAAAAGTGTTACGTTCATCTAAGAATGGTGGAAAATTCGACCAACCTGATGGCTCATTTGCAGGACAAACATCCAACTTTGTTTGAGGAGGCGGAACTAGTATCTACAACCCTGTTATTTCATGAAATGAAGTTAGCGTCAACGACTGAGAACACGAAGGCAAAAGTAAGTTTTTCTGAAACAATCATTTCCAGTACATTTAATGACGAACTGCATCAAGGACCGATGTCAAACACCAATGACCAAACTTATTGTCTGGCCCTGGTAACGCAAAAGTGGATATAATAGTAATTTACTTCCTATAACATGAAGTGGAACCAGAATCCATGTAATATGGGTTCTTGATTCCGAAAAACCGATTGTCGGCAAAACGGCTTTGTCCGTTCGTCCGTCTTTGGTCAATGATAGCGCCTAAACCGATTTTCTCCAATTTTGATATTTCCTGATCGATCTGAACCAACTTGACTTTGGGTGTTTCAAGAGAATTTTTTATTTTTGATTATACATTACACGTAGTAACCCCAAAATATCAACATTTTCTCCAAAATGGCTTCAAAATCGTTCATTAAATTTTGTCCTTTGATAGCGTAAAGGACGCTTAAGCGACTGAAGCAGGTCTAATGTTCGTTGAAATTCCAGATTTTTCGAAATTTGCAAAGTGTATTTTCATCCGCTCCTACAACTACAATCATGTTGATATATTATTTTTCCTTAATGAAATTTGTTCTTTCAAGAAAAATCTT